CATTAACAGTTACCGCTGTAAAGAAAAATGAAGTTTCGCGCATTATTTATGCTTTGCGCGAAGTAGTCCAAACAAGATTTGACTGTGAAAGGAAGAAACGACGCTTTTGGTGATTGAAACGTGAACGGCTTGATAAAATAACATACATCTCACCTCAGATGCACGTATACATATATACAGTGATATCTAATTAATATGGGCACCTTCGTTCCCCCAACAAATCGCCCATAATACAAAAATTCATGTATTTTCTCAGTTCATCCCCGAAAATAGCGTCCATATTAACCGGGTGGATATTAACGATACTTGTCTGTGTCTTAATTCAACGCATCAGTTAAGGAACAAAAATAATAAAACGTTAAAAAAGACGGACTTTTTTATTACGTTTTTTTTAGGTGAATACGAGTGTAAAATACTCAAGGCCTGGGAGCATCCTCCTCTTCCTCTTTGGAATGTCATCGCAGTCGCATGGTGCCAACTCAGCAATTGGACCCGAGCCCGATGCCGAGTGTCCTTCGACGCGCCGATTGGACACGAGGCTCACCCGAACGCTGACGTAACCCTCGTATCCAATCACGTGCCTTTGTTTGATCTTATTGTGATGACGTCAAAATTCGAGTGCAGGGGCTTTGATTCTTCTGGGTGGTGTTGTCTGAATCCCCTAGCCGTGCCCGTTTTGATCTGGAGGAGCCGATCGTACCGGCGTGCGGTCGTGTATCACGTTATAGACCCCCCAGGCTTGCAGTTGTACTAGACTAACAAAATTGCTCATTTACACTAGAGACACCACACCGGACACCCCCAATGGGGCCCAAGAAACTTCCCGTTGTCCGAAGATACACACAACACAATTACTTGACTGTACCGCTTAGGTTAGTTCTTACATGAGCACTTTCTAACACACTACTACTTTCTATGTCGTTCCTTCGGTTCTAAAACAAGAACTAGAAAAACTAAAACGAGAATTGCTTGTTCACGTTAAGTGCGCCGCGCATTGTACGCTAAAGGTACAGCTGGAGCTTGTTTTCGTAAACGGAAGTCGACAGCAAGAAGCTTAAAAAATAGCCTTCCGCTAATGAAATCTTATGGGAAAAGGGGGGGTGGGGGGGAGTGGATGTATGTTTTCTTTACTTCTGATACTATAAAGGAAAACATTAAATTGAGGTAGGTACTAAATAGTTTCATACATTTCTGATTGTTAAGCCCCCTCATATTTAGGGATACCTTGATGGTTGCTCTCTTTTATCGTAATTTCTCAATTACGCGAACGGAAAAATAAGTCAGTTTTCTTTTTCCAAACCGTGACTACGTGCTGCTCTAGAACAGCTCCCACTGACGCTTTCATACGTGCGAGGTTGTTGCCGGACGATATGTACTAGCGCATATCACCAACAAAATGAGTAAAGCTAGCTACTTATACGTTGACGACAGCGCCGAAAGTGACGTTAATATGTGTGAAACCAGAATAGACAGGAAGTCTTCGCGTACGACGAAACTGAATCAGTAACAGTCTACATATTTTTTTGTTTTTCGTTCGCGTATTTTTAGCCGTTTGAAAAGTTGGGAGGAGGGGTCAATTTTGTGCAATAACGTAGTCCTGGCATATTTGCATTATTAGCGTTTTTGGTGTTTGCACGTAAACGTATACCTTACTTGCGTTTTCCTTGTTTTGCCAAAATTTTATGTTGGTTACTGCATACAACTGCTCTGAAACATAGGTTTGACTCTGAAATATATTCAAGTCAAACATCACTCACTGATAAAAACAAAAACAAAACACTTTTAAAATCTTAATAAATTTGTATAGTACTGTTTGCTACGAACCGAGTGACAGAGATGATTCCTGGTATGCTCCGGCGACGGGGTAGAATGCACGCACGTTTCCCCATATATGAATCCGCGAGAGCACGGTAAACGTAGACAGCTTCCCGTCTGCGACAATTTGCATCCCGGAAACCGCGTAGACGCTATAGAGTGAGGTGAACCTCCATCATCCATTATAATAAATCCACGCAGTAGGTACGGTTAATTGGTAACGGCGGCCACATTTTGAACACAGAATGTGTTTTATCAGCCGAACCGTCATTTTGGAGCGTTAACGTTCCAGCGTTACACCGAGGTAACTGACCTCATCAGGTCACGTGTCGTCGGTCACGTGACGATATGACGTCACGCAACGTCACGCATACACAAGTCGCATTTCGCGCGTCTCCGAGTTTATCGTAGAGGATCGAGACATGCCGGGATTTTTTCGGCGAGGTGACAGATGGAACGACTTCATTTTTCGTTCGCTCGTTGTGAGCAACAACACTGGGTTGGAATGTTTTTTTTTTTTTTTTTCCCTTTACACAAGCTTATTGGCACATGTGGGACCCAAGTATACTGGTAAGCAACGCCACCGACCAATAAGCTTCTTTATCGCGGTACAATTTTAAGGATTAGAGCTTGAGATATCCGTCTCAAGTGACACATTCGAATCAGAGATTTGTATCCCTTGGTCCAAATAGGCACATCGCCTATCTTGAAGACAGGCTCAAGCAGCTCGCTATCACTGGACACCGGCTCTCCACAGGGACCGCAGACGTCACCCCGGGGTGGAGAGTTTCGTCCCTCTCGCGCATCTTATCTTGGGCCTTTCACAGCGTGTACAGCGTAAATACAGCACCAAGTTGTCTTAAACATACAAAAACTGCTTTGGCCTGTCTTGGCAACAGGCTACATACCTCCGATTGTGTTTGGCCAGCTATTTTAGCGACGTGGGCGGCAAACAGCATCACCGTCCATGGTCGCAATTCGCGACTATGGCGTCTCTATCTGGTTGAATTTTCATTCATCATCGGAAATCAGCGCCATGTCAGAGTGTCAACCGTGAAGAAGTTTGGTGTAAGAATGCGACGACTCCAAGCTTCCATCGCTATATTTTAAAGCGCACCATCGAACTTGGTATAGTTCTCAACCAATGATACATACAACTCATGACGTCGCGGGGAGGCAAATTCTGATCGTGACGTCACGAACATGATACCGTACGAGGGCGCCACCGAAGCACCATCTCCTCTTCTTGCCATCCTTGTCTACTTTGCCGCGGAAGGCGGTTCTGGGCACGCTTTCTTTCACGAAATACGAGACCAAGGAAAATACGAAAGACGACACCAAGAGAAGAGAAAGAGACCTTCTCTAGCTCTCTCTTATCTCTTGACGGGATGGTCCAAAATGTTCGGTTTACGTCAGCTCACCTGCGCCCTTGCGTTCTGTATTGTAAAACGTGAAATTAAAATTGGAAGCGACCTCTGGCTAGTTCGGAGTGCATGAAGTGCGCTTCGAAGTGCGTAATGCGCGAAATGCATTATGGCATATTGGTGTGTCGCGTGACGTAAAGTTTCCCGCTAAATTTGGCTGGGAAACTGAATGCTTGCATAGGTCACGTGGCGTGGGGTCGGGGACGTTGCTTTGCCCCGCTAAGTTTAGCAGGGAAACTGGATTCGTGGTTTAGCCACGAGACGTCAATTTTCCGCTAAATTTAGCGGAGTAACTGCGTTAACGTTTAGGTCACGTGCCGTCAACTCCCCCAAGTTGTATAGGTCACGTGACGTCAAATGACGCCATTTCATTATGATTACCAACTTAATGTTAAAACATTTCATGCTTTAATATTAAAAAAAAAAGAAACGTAATTAGTGATGCGAGGTTTTTTAGTTCGCTAATTATCAAGTCACACCGGTGCCCTGATGTCCGCAGCGGCCAATAATATTATCTTTCTCGGACTCCAGGGAAGGATGAAGAAAGGAATTACTTATTCCAAAGGTCATTTTCAATATTACATTAGTATATATATAATGTAAGTTAGATATCTTTAAACTGTAACTTAGTTAAGGACATAGCACATGTGCCATTTAGTACCCATGTATATTGTGGTAAAACAACGTTTCTATTCTTCGTGTAACAAACTACTTCTGGCTTCCATAGCGATTACCATATATCCTCATTTTCCCCAGAAAACTGCTATTAAAAAACTGCTATTAAACGCCGTTCCTCTTAAAAAAAAAGCTTGTGGGTGTATTTAACTATCTTTTTTCTTTCCAAAACAACGTCAGCCCAATTTCGCCTACAACGAAGGAGTATAAACTTTGTAGGATACAAAATGCTCAACTACATGTATAGTAAAAGCGCGGAAGGTAACTATACACTATGTCCAGTAATCCATTACCTGATAACATAGTTATCGTGTAATGGTAGCATTTTATCCGCGACATTCGCGTGTGATATAACTTCGTCCTAGAACATATAATGACGAATCTACAAGGAGCTGTCTCCGCATTGATTGTGTTTAAGTTTTTGTCTGCTCTTCGAGGGCTATGTTGCCATTTCCGACATGAGGGTATTTCCGTGATTTTATCGCTATAGTACATAATAACATCCGGTATGAACCACTGGGAAACTGGCGATTCATTAAAGGCGTAGGCTGACTGAGACAAACAACAGAGGCAAATTAAACCAGGAAGTGAAGAAACGCAGCGCCTACATTAATCTCAAACATAAATGACGGCTTGTGCTGCCAACGCCCATGCGTGACAAAAAGATAAAAAGAAGAAAAAAAAAATTTCGTCTGACGCAACGAGAGCCAGCTCACAAGGCGTATCGTCCCCGACAGATTTCAACGTCAAGATGTTTAACTAGCGCAAGGAGATTAAAGTTATCGCTGATAAAACTTCTGCCGGCGTGCTTGAGAGAAGTTGGCAGCGCTCGCCGTTTGCGCACAGCACCAACCTTGGGTTCGTCTGCAAAATATGGGTACTTAAACTCCGGTTTCGCGAACGTCCGCGAGCGCCCACGTCAGAAACTTCAAGACTTTACCGTACTACGGCGTTTACTAACGCAACCTCTACATATATTGAGCGCGTAACTAGCAATCGAGTAAGCCTTCTATACGGTGATGTGGCCTGCGACAACTTCAGATGTCTACAACAAACGGAAATCAAGATGAAGGTGGTTTTACTTACGACGTGGTCCCTCGGTGTCCTTGAGGTCCGTGTCCTGGTGCCCCTGGTGATGAACGGAGTGAAGCGAGTGACTTCTTTCTCCGTGGTGATCGCGTACGCACTGAAATGCTCGTTCTCGTTTGGCGAGCGGGCAGACGGGACAAGTTATTTTGTGCCCTATCGGGTTTTTGTCGCCGGGAGGGCGGGAGTATATGTTCCTTATCACTTCTTTCTCAGACAATTGGATGCGTGCGCGTCAGAGCCTCGGGAAGTGGCTGCATGATCTCACCGCCTCAGGATTCTGTTTGCCCTCCTTTTTATTCCTTTGTTATCACCTGCTCCGTGTCTGGAGACATGCATCGTACGCCTCAACTTTCCGCTTCGTGCTTGATGAACATAGCATGCAATGTGTTTGGCCGTAGTCTGTGCACGTTGTATCAGAATATGCCAGAACAAAAACTGGCAGTCTCTTCGAGATTTACCAAATCGCCTTGCTCCTGTCCTTCGATTAAAATGTGCCGCGAAGGATTAAAAAAAAAAAAAAAAAAAAAAAACAGGACTAAGACGATGCGACATTCACAAATAAGTGCAAGCTATACTTCGTTTCAGCTTAGGCCCAGGCGCAGCCGACGCTACCAATCAAGGAACGTCAAAAACGCCAGTCACAGGACCTTTTCTGTTTGATTGGTTCAGCAATGATGGAACATGTACAGGGGCATGAAGAACACCATGATGGTGCTTTTTGGACAGACACTGTCTGTTTGATATCATCAGCTATAGCGTCGGTTGCCTCTGGACTTATGGCGAAGTATGGGCACCCTGCAGATGTAACTCAGTGTCGACACGCGCGCCTCTCGCGGCGGCGTCGCGTGTACTCATTGGGAAGCGACCTCGGCAGTCGCAGCTCGACTGCAGGGGTGCACCTTTGGGTGTTGCAAGGCCGACATGCCTTCTTGGGCTACCACATTGGCGGAAGTGCCGGAATAACGAGAGTGGCGGCGGAGCTCTACCGCTCTCCCTACGCTGACTCAAAAGTGGCCGCACGCGGCGCTGTTCGCTGCGCGATCGGTAGTGGCCCCTAGCAGACGCAGGGTGCCCATAGCAACTGTTTATTTTTTCTTTCCCACAAAAGCAAGGAAAAGCGCAAATAAAAGAAGAAGAAAGGAATAAGGGGGATACAAGCGGAAATACATAGAATGAACTGTAGTACGATTTCCGTTAGCAAAAACCTTCAAACTTAAGCCGTTGTCCCCGAGACACGTGCGTGCGGCCGGTAATGCAATGCCTTTTTCAAAACCGTGTGTGTGTGTGCCTGAGGGCTGTGTGGAGAGCAAGTCTGCCTCTTGCGCATGGGGCTGCGGTGACGTCAGCACGACGCCGAGTTCTGATTGGCTTTGATTGAAAGGGTAGACCTCGACGTTAAATGCTTTGAGGTCTACCCACAATTTTGTTTTTCGATCAGCCAATGAGAGCTTGGCATTCTAACATCATTGCAACCCCTCTGCAAGAAGCAGACGAACTTGTACAAAAGACCGTCTGAGGCGTGTTTCTGCCTTGTGTGACAGTCACATTGGTCGTGCAAAAACTGTCTACAGAGAAGTTCAAAGCATACACATGTACGAAGCAGACATGCTTGGAAGATGGTTGAAACGCTAGTAATTCTGCCGGCACATCTGCAGCTTGTATATGATGTATGGACAGTGTGACAGCGGCTCGTCGACCGTAGCTTGGCAAACAAGCATTGACGACGTGGACGCGTGTGGCACGCCGCGTTCAGCAGCGGCTCCGGGCACTGTGGCTCCGGGAGTCAAGGAGCTCGCGCTCCTTCCACTAGATGGCAAAAAGCGACTTCCGGTGCACGTTACCCGGAGTCAAGGAGTCGCGCTCTCGTACACCGATTCCTGACAGCACATCCTAGACGGCTTTCAAGCCTGAGCGTCACGTGACCTGACGTCACGTCCGGGAGGCCGACACGGGCGCCGATGGGATGCAAGTGGCGCGTCAGCATTGGCGTAGAACTATGATAGGAAACGAGCCCCACGCGAACGCTCACGCGGCACTCGCGTCCAATCAGCACCCGTGTAGGCCTCTCGGACGTGACGTCATGTCACGGGCCCGAAACAACCCATTCCCGTTTGAACCCGTCCCGTTTTGACCAATTCCCGAAACGACGTTCCCGTTTGAACCCGTCCCGTTTCGACCCATCCCCGAAACGACCTTTCCGTTTGAATCTGTCCCGTCTCAACCCGTTCCCGAAACGCCCTTCATATTTGAACCCGTAGCCAAGACATATTTTACGTTCGAATTCGTCCCGTTTGAACCCGTTGGTATAAAGCCCCGCACATTTCAACCTCTTCGCGAAAAGTGTCCATCGTTCTAATCCTGGTTTGCGCAGTTTTTCTGCTTAAGAATATGTCCCGAAATCATGTTAATGCAATTAATGCAAAGGTACAGGCGAGTAATTAAGTTATGTTGTGAAATATGTTTGGCTTGTAAACGTATTCTTAAAATATGCAATACTTTCAGACGAGCTTCGACGAAATATATTTCTACTTTAAAATGTTTCTTTCAAAATGGTCCCCAAAATGTGTAACTACGAAATGGACTATGTACACTGCGCGACAACGTTATCACGAACACGATGTTGGCGATTTTTTAAATTTTACTTCGAATGGTATTAGAAGGTACCACTTTTTACCGCTTAGGTTAGTGGCCCAGATGAGCACTTTCAAACACACTAATAATATTGATGGCAGTCTTCTGATTTTTTTCAGACAAACAGCTAAAACCAACAATCGCTTGTTGGCGCTAACGGTTTCGCGCTCTGTACAATAACAGGAAGCTTTCGTAGACCGTTTTCGACGTCACGCGACGCTCCTCCGCAACCCGCTATGATACCCAGAACTCTGGAATCAAGGCCATAGGCGCGCAGGCGCAGTAGCGATTTCTTAGTTGCGGAGGGCTTAGTGAAAGCATGGTGCCTGGAACGCGTCTCCGACTGGTGTGTTTAGCGTCCTATGCTGCCCATACATCAAAAGTGGTCCCCAAGTGGCAACAAATGACGTCGCAGAAGCCGGAATGTCATGCTGTTGACGTCGCGATCCTGGCGGTTGGCCGTAGAATTGCTGGCAAAAAGCGCGAGCGAACGCGAGTGTCGCTGTCGTCACGGCGTCCCAGGCGTCCCAACTTCCGGCTGCTGTAGGTTCCGTAGACTGTCACAGTGGGGAGCGACCTGCAGCAGAACAGGCGTCTGCCATACCCACCAGAGTTGCTGAGACACCACCAGGGTCGCGACCGGCGACAGCCTGCCACTTCTATGACGTCATCACGCGGAAATCGAGGGACCACTTTTTTGGAGGCAGTAAACACACCAGTCGGAGACGCGTTCCAGGCACCATAGTAGAGTCCCTGGAATATTGGCTATACTTCGTTTCAACTTTCGTCCGAGCGCAGCCAAACGCTGAGGGACGGTTCGCAACTTCGAGAAGAGCATTTCTACGCACCACAAAGCAGTTCACAAAAAAAAAAAAAAATTCTTTTAAAATTATTGTTTTGTGCGTAAAAACTGCACAATGTTTCAGATGTGTACTGCTGAGAATGATTTGCAACTAAAGGAATCAAATCTCCGATGTTTATGTTTCTATTAATATATGTAAATGCATGTGGTTTGGTGAAAACATGTATATCCGCTGGCAACACGGCTGCAGCGCTCGGTTTTTCTGTGTGATTTCGTTCCCGTAATCGCCGAATCATGTGCTTCGCTGCTTTCCTCACCGAGTCGCTTCAAAACGCCCTTTCGCAAAGGCACGTTTGGGCGTCAGGCGCGAGAGGACTCGTGATGAATGTCTACTTTCAAATTCGGCAGGAGACTCCGGCCGTGTCATACCGCGAATGCGTTGTAAGCAAGCAAAGCGTTCGGGCCACTACAATTCAGATACGCGGCGAAATCAGGGCACCTCTTTCCCTGCCGATCACATTGAACGGCGAGAAGCTGGTGGAAAGGACTAAGCCTCGAGCCCTGGTATATCCAAACAATACAAGGAAACATCAACAACCGGGTCATCGGGACCTTGCAACATGTACTTACATCTCGAAACTATGCCGAACAGGTGGAAAGCTCGAACACAGATGCCAGCGGCCAGCCTACGTACTGACATCTCCTGTGACTAAGTTTCAGAACGTGAAAAGGCACTTTTTAAACCTGAAGCAGACGATATCGTTGATACACCCGTAGCAGACGAAATACTCGGCGAGCGCGGACGGCGCGGGTGACCAGCGGCGCAGCGGAGTGATACAAAAGTGCAGGCGAAATCGCGTGACCTATTGCCGGCTTGTGATTGGCTCCGGCCACACGTAGCTTTGGCTGCGCTTGGACGGAAGCTGAAACTGCCGTCCACCGGCCGCGGCGGTGTCGTTTCCGGGATGAAAGATGCGGTGGCGCTGCAAGCAGTCGGCGTGCTACGGACGGGCGCAGCTGAGGAGCAGCGCGTTTTTAGATGCGGAGCATCTCTTGCTCGGGTCTATGTCCCGCGGCGTCGTAGTCCGCACTCACACTACGCATGCGCAACTCTCCTCCTTCCTTCTCTCCAACAGCTGCGCGTTACTTTCTCTGCTCTTTCTCTCTACCAGCGCGTGCACTTCCAGCACTTCGCGTGCCTTCGCTTCTACTCACACCGCGCGCGCATGCGCAGCTCTCCTCCTCTAGTCTCCTCTCCTTCAAGTGTGAATATAAGCAGCGGTAGCGCGCTGCGCGCGTTGGTCACTACTGCGTGATGCACGTTAAAAATCCCAGGTTAGCAGTTGTACTGCACTGGCTAAATTTCTCATCTACAGCTGAGAGACCGATTACCCGTTGAGGCGCATCTCCATCAAGGCTGTATAAACATAAAGAGCAAACCAATTTTTGCGCGCGTTCAGTTCGCCCGCTGGTGACTTCACTCCGTTCTTCCGATGAAGTCTGATGGAAGCAACAGTCCCGTCAGTTAGTGGGTTGGCGGAAGCAAGCGTCAGCACCACCCCACAAACTAACAGCAACGCTACGTCCACTGAAGACAAAGCTGCGCAGCGAAAGGCACGCGACGCTGAGCGCAAACGCTTGAAGCGAGCGGCAGACCCTGAACTACGGCAACGAGAAGCGGCGTCCATTCGTCAACGTCGAGCGGCGGATGCTGAACTACGACAACGTGAAGCAGCGGCGGTTCGAGAACGTCGAGCAGCAGAACCTGAGGTTCGGGACCGTGAAGTTCAACGTAAACGTACGAAGCGAGCGGCGGAACTCGACCTTCGAAAACGGGAAGCCGCGTTGGTTCGTGAACGTCGA